TTAAGTACCGGTACATGATAGAAATGTCTAGTAGCCTAGCTGTAAGACAAGACACTTTTTTCACTAGCTGTTCTTTCTTCATGTGATATTACCCGTTATAGATGAACAGATGATATCATGTGGTGTGAGAACAACTGTGAACATCATCACAAAGGCAACATTTTCTTCCTCTAACAGGTCTTCACTCAGTTTGTGAAATGTCAGTTGATCTATGAATAAGTCAAAACTTTAGTTAAACAGACAATTTATATCAGTATTATTATCAGCATTACTTTTTACTCATTATTGAACATAGTATTTATTAATAAACTTATTTAAATATCAATATGAGAACTCAAAATAAAACCTGTTTTAGAAGAATGCTTTGAGTGGCAAGTTAATTTATTTAATTACTTAGTTAATTGAATGTAGTCTAAACAAAAAATTGTCACGTCCAGACTGAGCACAGACAGGTCACAAAGTAATCTCAGTAGTGGTCCCCTAAATATGTTATTTAGTTATGTGCTTGTATCAACAATTATTACTTAAGCAGTTTTACCAACAGGAATGTATACTTTGCCCTTCTGGTGTGGAATCGTGTACTGGGTTTAGAAGAGGGTGATACACTGCCTCAGCCAGAAAATCATAAAAAAGAGAAGATTGTTTTAACCCTGGGNTATCAGCATTACTTTTTACTCATTATTGAACATAGTATTTATTAATAAACTTATTTAAATATCAATATGAGAACTCAAAATAAAACCTGTTTTAGAAGAATGCTTTGAGTGGCAAGTTAACTTATTTAATTAATTAGTTAATTGAATGTAGTCCAAAGGAAAAATTGTCATGTCCAGACTGAGCACAGACAGGTCACAAAGTAATCTCAGCAGTGGTCCCCTAAATATGCTATTTAGTTATGTGCTTCTATCAATTATTGTACCAACAGGAATGTACACTTTGCCCTTCTGGTGTGGAATTGTGTACTGAGTTAAGTAGAGGGTGATACACTGCCTTAGCCAGAAAATCATAACAAAGAGAAGATTGTTTTAACCCGGGGGGGGGGGGGNGGGGGGGGGGGTGATCCCGGAAAAATTGGGTGGGGGTGTGCGGTCCACTTCCCAAAAACCTTGCCCTAAGACCAAAATTATCTGTGATTTTCCCTACCTTATTTATGACCTGACCAAAAAAATTCAAAAATTAGTTCTGAGGTATTAAAATTTCAACGAAACACCCAGGCTGAGAGTAATACTAAACAATAGAAGTAACATGATTTCTCTTGATTTAGACCCCTAAGCCTCAGTGCTGTTAGAATTTTAACAATTTGAAAATGGTGTATTTGCAATTTATGGGCATCACTGATGTTTTTAAGAGTCAAAGAAGCACGAGGTTTTAGGCAAATGTCATATTTTACTACTGAGAGCTTTCAAAAAATCGCTCAGATCTGTGTAAAATCTCGAATCCCCAGGTTTCCTTCTTATCACCCCACCAACACCCCGCCCCATTGAGGAATTTTACCCCATTGAGGAATTTTACCCCTCTGAATAGTCACGTGATTCATTTTTCGGCCAAGAGCGCTGAAGCGCTCCATTTGAGTACAGTTCGTGTCTCGGTGGATTGACGCAAAGATGAGCCGAGATACACTCCGATGTGTTAGCTGTATTCTTTTGGTTGTCTTAGTTGTATTTCTAACAGATGTTTGTTGTGAGGAACAAGGTAAGATTTATGGTTTTCGGGGGAAACTTTTTTACACAGTTATGAAGTAATCTTTAGAACAACACACTTCGATCAGAAAAATTCCCTTCCATGCTGTCTGTGTGATTTTAGGTTTGGATGAGCTCAAACTGCTTGCCATAACGGTAGCAACAGACGAAACAGATGGCTATAAAAGATTTATGAGATCTGCTAAATCTAGTAACATCGATGTGAAGGTATCGTTAATTATTTATACATGTATCTAGATAGACCTGGATCAGCTGTGAAGCTTGCAGATCAGTTGATCATCTTTATTGACACACAAGTTTACTTAAATTATCTACTAGTTTCTTGTTAATTTTGTTCCATCGTTGAGAGATATCATCCACTTAAGCCTTCGTTACGTCTTGGAGCGGCAATGAAATTTCATATTCACAGAATTTCGTAGTTTTATCTGCTGTCAAATTTTCTGCATGGGCTCTAACATGTTAATTTCGCACGTGTTGTTTGTTATGCTTGAGCATTTGAATATTTAATCATTCGGTGTAAACAGAAATTCAGATTTCTTTAACTTTCTAACTTTTATTAGATTCCTTCCCAGTTAACTGCACGTTACCTTCAGAAACAAACTTCGCGAAGGAGCCGAACTTTTACAGACCTGAGAGATTGCAATCTCACAATTTTCTGCACGTAAACGGTTTGGATTTTTATTTGCAACCGTGAAGTCTTTTATTGAAGGAATGCGTCAGGGAAAACGAGTAAAAGTGCTGATGTTTTTCTGTTTTCACGTATCTTAAAGGATATTGCCGAATTCCTTTAATTTCTGAGGAAAACGCCGGCTGATTACAAACAACACTTTCTTACACGTTGGCAGAGAGTGAAATATCGAATGTCATGTTGTCATGAAAGGGCCGTTGATGGTTCGTCTGTAATGAATGGATCTAGTGTATAGAGTCTGAAGAAACGTGCTAATTCTCACGATTGTTATTACTTCTTGAAACCACTTCTATATGTGGAATGCATAGGGAAATATGTCGCTTCATATCATTTCAAAGTGAAGTATTTTCCATCTCTTGTTTCAAAAGAAATAGAGGAATAATATATAAATGCAAATAAAACGTGGGAATGGAGTGCAAATTTTTTAACAGTTGTGTCAATAAGTTGTCAGCTTGTGATTTATAGTTTTTATTTCTTACTCCTTAAAAAAATAATCTTTCTGCTTACAATCCTACTTCAGTAGAGGTCTTAACCAACTTACAGGATTTTTTTGTGTGTTTAGCAAGGGACAAGGAGGGGTGCAGGAGAGGGGCAGGAGAGAGGGGCAGGAGAGAGGGGAGTACAAAGTTCAGATATCTTGGGAAATGAGAGAAAACCACTCCCTCATGCTTATTTACCATTTATTTTAAAAATGAATAAAACGAGAGCAAGCAGAGTTATAGAGTGAGCAATAGTGAACTTTAATATTGCAACTCTGACTGATGAAGGTGCATGGACAGAAGCCACCAAAAATTAAGAAAAGAAAAAGCAACAGATTGTCAAAAACTTGGCAAGTTGATATTTCTTGTGTTCTTGTTGGTTTGGGTGGAGCATCCTACAAAGGCGCATACAGTCAAACCTCTATTAAGCCGTCACCCATTAAGCAGGTACCCCTTATTAAGCCACTAGTTAGCAAAGTCCCGAAATTATTGTCAGTAAAACCCCTGCTAACTGGCCACTTCTTTGTAATGGCCACCCCAGCTACCTTTTGGTCATTCCATTGAGAGTTGTCTACGGTCTTGACCCTTATTAAGTGGCTACCCAAAATTGATGCATACTCGTCAGGAGTATGTAGGCTTGTTTGGGTGTGAACTTGTGCTTTACCGTCTTGTTTTTCCTTGAGTAGCTACCTCGGAAATCTTTGAAATGTATGGGAAAAAAGTTGTCAGACATTCTAGTATTTACCCTACAAACTCTTTGGTGCAAGTTTTTGGGGAGGAGACTGGTTCTCCTTTACCTAATTATACTTATATGCAAGATCTTTTATACATGTAGGTGCTCGGAATGGGCGAGGAATGGCGAGGTGGAGATGTGAAGAATTATCCTGGTGGAGGCCACAAAATCAACATTCTTAAAAAAGAAACAGAACTTCACAAGAATGAAAGCAATCTTGTGCTTATGTTTGTGGATAGGTAGGATGTCAGTGTGATAGTGTTTTTAGTCATAGTTTTGCATGATAACTTTTTCTTTAGGTTAATAAATCACGTTTTGATTTCTTTATATTTTGATGGAATTTTTACATTTAAATTATGTTGATTTCTCCACAGCTATGATGTGATACTACTTGCAAATCCCAAGGAATTCCTGAAAAAGTTTCTTGAGTTTAATGCCAACTTGGTCTTTTCTGCTGAAGGGTTCTGCTGGCCAGACAGATGGCTCAAAGTATGTACATTTGCTTTTGGCTGATTTGGAAAAATGAGTTATTCCCCTCCTCTCCTCTTTTCTTCTTTCTTTCCCCCCTCTCCCCTCTCCTCTCATTTCCATCCCTCCCCAACGCTCCCCTCCCCTGTCCTGTTCTCCCTTCTCCACCCCTTTTATCTTCTTTCCTCTCCTACACTCCCCTCTCCTTTTTCCCCTCTCCTGTTCTCGCCTCTTCTTGCCTCAACTCCCCTTCTCTCGCTTTGCCACACCACACCTCAATCCTGCCCCTGTCCTCTTCTTCCTTCTCCCCTTCTTCTCCCCTCACCTCTCGTCTCTTCTGTGTCCTCTGTACTTATGGTTTACCTTTGATCATCATCACTAACCATAAAGATGGGTCTGAAGTGATAAAATTAGAACTGGGATTGGCTGATTTTTTCACTGGGAAAATAGGATTTAGGCAAAACAAATGTAAATAAGATTGGGATTTAGGCAAAATTCTAGTGTGGGATTTAGATAACATTTGGGCTGGGAAATGGGGTACCCCCCATCCCTGCATTCAGGACCAACTAAAAGTCACAAAGAGCTGCTCATTGAAAATATTATAATTTTTTGCTTTACAGGACCAATACCCAGAGGTTTCTCATGGAAAGAAATATCTTTGTTCAGGAGGTATACGTGAAGTCAGTTAAACTTTGTTCTTTGCCCTGACAGACGTGCCAGTAATGTTCTCATTGATCGTGTTTACCCTATTTTCTTGCTTTACATCTAAAGAATTATGTACAGTTTTATTAAACAACATTGTATATGTCTATGTTTCATCAGGTTTTATAGGTTATGCGTCAACATTCCACCAAGTTGTAGCAGATCATGCCATTGAAGATGTTGAAGATGATCAGTTGTATTACACCAAGATATTTTTGGACAAGCAGAAAAGGGTGCATTGAACAATATTTTGTAATAAACCTCTGATGCGTATGACCAACAACAACTGCAGTTAATTAGCAATGAACCCAACCCTTAGCACTGTATGGCTTGTAGTGTTTGGCTTCCTCATTGTGGACTGTTAAGTTAACATTGCTGGAAATTATGAAAGCTGTGGCTGGAGATAAGAACTAAAGGATAGTTTATGTTTACTAATTCTTTTTTACTAATTATTTTATTTTATTATTTATTATCTTATTATTTTATTCATTTATTTATTTATTTATTTTTGCTTTGACAGGATCAGTTGAAAATGAAGTTAGATAACAAAGCAGAAATCTTCATGAATCTGAATGGAGCAGAAGGTACACTGCTTTAACTGACTAGAACAACTTAAGTTGTAAAATTGTCTTAGTTTGGCCTGAACTTTGGTATAATAAAATTACATTTTATAGTAGTGAAATATGTTGTTGCAGAAAATATCCATACCCCTCCCATCTTGAGTGTTTTGGTTTGACCCCCACACACCCCTTTGGAAATTCCACATTTAGTGTCGACATACTTTCCTTTAAAATTTTTGACCCCAGGCTCGGAATTTCCAATGATTTTGGAGCATGTGGTTAAGGTATAACCCTGTATGGATATTTCACACATAACATATTCAACATTTTTTGCAGAGGAAGTGGAAATCAAGTTCAGTGGTGACAAGGCCTGGCTGGAGAACAAGGAATATGGAACTCAGCCTCTGGTGGCTCATGGTAATGGACCTAGCAAGGTAATTTGACTCAAATTTATCAAGTATACAGTTTTTACTTGCTAGCATTTTTTCCTCACTCATCTCTGTTACAATGTAGAAAACAATCAGCTGTTTTCAGATGGTTGGAAATAAAATAGTTGATATTATATATTCACCACAATTATTTATATCATTCTGTTTTTTATGACAGACTTTTTGAGATTCTTATCACGAGTTGTATATTGACAGTGGAGTAAGCCAGTTGTTTGTTTGTGTACTTTCAGCTGTTTTTAAACTACCTGGATAACTACCTGCCTGNCCCCCCCCCCCTGTCCCACACACCCCTTTGGAAATACATTTCCAAAGACATACTTTCCTTTAAAATTTTTTACCCCAGGCTTGGAATTTCCAATGATTTTGGAGCATGTGGTTAAGGTACAGCCCTGTATGGATAGTCAACATATAACATATTAAACATTTTTTGCAGAGGAAGTGGAAATCAAGTTCAGTGGTGACAAGGCCTGGCTGGAGAACAAGGAATATGGAACTCAGCCTCTTGTGGCTCATGGTAATGGACCTAGCAAGGTAATTTGACTCAAATTTATCAGTTATACAGTATTTACTCGCAAGCATTTTTTCCTCACTCATCTCCTTTGCAATGTAGAAAACAATCAGCTGTTTTCTGATGGATGGAAATAAAATAGTTGATATTATATATTAACCAGGATTTATATCATTCTGTTTTTTTATGACAGACTTTTTGAGATTCTTATCACGAGTTGTATATTGACAGTGGAGTAAGCCAGTTGTTTGTTTGTGTACTTTCAGCTGTTTTTAAACTACCTGGATAACTACCTGCCTGATAAATGGAACTTCAGAGATGGTTGCACTGCGTGTGCTGAAGATACGATATCATTAGACAAACTCAAGGTAACACAGCATGTGATTGTGCTGTGTTTTGTTTTCACCACAGTGGAAATAGTTATCAGTTAAAAACAGATGTCAAAACTCCACGCATCTTGGTGTACTGTTATAACAACATTCTCAGCTGGTAGTAATGCACAACTTATTTTAAAGCATTACCTACTACAAAAAGAATGGTTTAAAAAGGACCTTTCTTCTTTTTTTCATCATTCTATGCCCACACTGCCAGAATACCAGGGGGTGTCTCAGTGTCAGACCAAGTCCCGAATGGGTAACAAAATCTCCCAGATATGAAGGATTGAGCTTTAAGTACATTTTTCTCACTTACTTTGGATAAGTTGTGGCATTTAGTGGGAACAATTTTTTTTTATTAATAATTATTTGACGCATCTTTGTTGTCGAATTAGCAGACATCCACTTTTAACAGCTTTTTTAGGGTTGAGAAGGTAAAATTGGTGATCTCCCAGATTTTAATTTTTTTTTAGGTCAGCATCTCTGCTTTCGCAGGAGATTTTGTAGGTTATAAGTAAATTTCAGTTATGAATATTGTAGGGTCACTTTATGTTAGCCTTTATTGCTTAGGTTCTGATTGTTACATTTTGATTCTCTGTGGCTTCTAGGAAAAGGAATATCCTAAAATCTTGATGGGTTTGTTTATTGAAAAGCCTACACCTTTCATACCAGAGTTTCTGAATAGAATGATGCAGTTGGATTATCCTAAAAAGCGCATTGATCTTCTGGTCCACAATATGGTAGGTATACTGTCTGCTATCTATTTCGCTTATATGAGTTTAGACTCCAAGACAGAAAGGAGGAATCAAAAACTAGACTTAGTGACTTGTCATGACAAAAGATCTTGAGATTGTATTTAAAGCTTCCGAGACCCACAATTTTCTACTTGCTATGTCCAACCATACATTTCTCATCTGAGTAATGCCTAGACACCTCTACAGGGATACCCTGGTTACAAGGAACATTATGACGACATGGTGGGGAATTTTGATTCTTCTTCATTCAGCTTTAGAACAGACATTAGCCTGCATAGCAAGCATTCCCATAAAAAAGCTTTTTCTGCATTCTGGCAGCGTGCAAGTTGGAGCAAGAGCAAAGAAATTGATGGGCAAGTGCTTTGTTTGATTTTTTTTGCTCTCGCTCCAATTTTTGCACAGCCAGAATGCCAAAAAAGCTCTTCACGCAGAAATGTTTGCTAAACAGACCAACACACTTTTGTAACTTATTAACAGTATATTAAGAATTGCAGTTGCCTCTCATGATAGCATAGTCTAACTATATACACAGTTGTGTGACAGAACTTTATCTATAATCATGTATCCTTGTCTTGCATGTTAGGTTTCGTATCACAAGCCACAAATTGGAGAATGGTTAACAGATGAGATCAAGGATCAGTTCAACTCCGTCACTGTACTGCAGCCTGAAGACAATGTGAATGAGTATCAAGCCAGAAATCGTGCTGTGTAAGACATTTTATTGTTTTGCTTGTTGTTGTTGTTTGTACAGTTAGACTCACTTGACATTTAGGTTGAAGTTTTGTTGAGTAGTAACCAGTAAGACAGACTAACTCAAAGAGTATGTGACAGCCACTTAGGAGAATAAAAATGTTTGTCTGAATGTTATCGATCATGCTGATTTCCATTATGTTTTTTGTCGAACATAATAATTAAATATTAAATACTTAACGGCAATGTAGTTAGTACATCTATTGTTGAATAGATCTGTTATTGTAATGATATTATGATTTTACAATAAAATATTATTATTATAATTGTGAAATCGTAATGTTTTTTGTTGTTGTTGTTGTTGTTGTTGTTTTTTTTTCTGTAAATTACTTGTAGTATTAACAATAAAATGTTTTTATCTTGTAACAAGAACGGTTGTTTGACTCGTTGCATATGAAGGATTTAAATTTTTCACGTTTTTGTTGTTTGTTTGTTTTTGTTAACTCAGTGAGATGTGTAAAGAAAAGAAGTGTGACTATCTTTTCTCTGTTGATGGATCTGTTGTTCTTACCAACAAGGATACGTTGAAGATTCTCATCAAACAAAACAGGTCAGTAACGACAAGCATTGACATTTATACCCCGAACAAAAAGTAATTAAAGAAGTTTATATGAAGTGTGCCAAATGTAATGTTTTTGAAGAAATGATCTAGCCATAAAAAAACGCATTAAATCATGTCTTAAAATTAATTTTCATTACCTTTTTTCCCAAGACCTGTGCTAGCACCTATTGTAACAAAGCACGGCAAACTGTGGTCAAACTTCTGGGGCGCACTTGGAAATGATGGTTACTATGCTCGATCACGTGATTACCTTGCTATTGTTCAGAAGCAGAGAAAGTAAGTAAAATAGTTTTTTGTGAAGGTTAAAAGGTTAATTTAAGGTTACAGTATACCTTTATATGTTAAACTAGCCACTGTCCAAATTTAAGAGCAATTGAACAAATTCACTTTGAGTTATAACTCTTTAAAGTGTCTGCTTCAAGTGAAAAAATTTATTCGAGAAAACAGCGCTAAGAANTGTGCTAGCACCTATTGTAACAAAGCACGGCAAACTGTGGTCAAACTTCTGGGGCGCACTTGGAAATGATGGTTACTATGCTCGATCACGTGATTACCTTGCTATTGTTCAGAAGCAGAGGAAGTAAGTAAAAAAGTTTTTTGTGAAGGTTAAAAGGTTCATTTAATAAAGGCTCTTTCTTAATAGAGAGAAAATCCATGGTAAGAAGGGAATAGCTCAGTGTATTCCCATCCCACCCTGGCCTTGAAAGTCCATGGAAGGTACATATTTGGGTCCTTGGAAAACCTTGAAATTTGATTGAAAAAGGAACAAACTTCCACATAATGTGGAAGAACCAACTCTATTTCATTGTGACTGCACTGTTTTTGAATATAATGTGATCAAAGTTAAAATATCAAGTAATTTCTTTCTTTCTAGGGGTGTATGGAATTCTCCTTTCATTACAAGCATTTATTTGATCCAAAAACAAGTCTTGAACAAGATGCAAGGAAGCTTTGGGCCTTCTAAACTTGATCCAGACATGGCATTGTGCCAGTATTTCAGAGATCGTGTAAGTATATCCATATGTGATGTCCAGGAAAGAGCTATACTTTGACTTGTATCTCTTCTTCTAATAAGCTTGCCCTGATACATGTAAGCGATCCCATTTGAACAGACAAAGTAACTTAAGTACTATATGAAACATGAAAGACTGTGTTTGACCCCATTTCCAAACATCAAGTAAAGAATTGAAAATACGATGCTCGGAGTATTTTTGACGAACTTCAAAATTCAATTGAAGCTAAAACTAAGTAGAAAACGGAGAAATAAAATCGTTAGAATCAATGCCAAGTAAGATCAGATATCCAAACGTGGTCACAGTCATGATTTCCTTTGCTTAAACTTAACGAATTGCTGATGAGTGAGAAGTTGTCTAACAAAGTATAGTATCTGGAATGATGTTTCTTTTTCATTTTGCAGGGAATTTTCATGTATGCCACCAATCTTTATGACTTTGGTCGTCTGCTGGAGACCGACAATTATAACACAAATCATTTGCACAATGATTTATGGGAGATCTTTGACAACAGATTGGTAAGCTTGTAAAAATTGAACAACGCTAGCCTAGACTAAGACTGATAATTATGACTTCGCTGGGTTTATTCAATAAAGNCTTCTTGGCTGGCCTGTGCTATGCGCGGGAAAACGTGCGTAAGTCAAGCTAAGATTGGTTTAATGTTTGTTCCTGATTGATTGTTAAAAAAGCACCTTTGTCATGATTGGTGAAAGAGATGTGTTATATGCTATGACCTTCATTGCTGTGAGTTCTTCTTGTCATCACGGTTCACCTTAGCAGTGTAGTATACTGTAGTAACGCCGTGCTCAGTGGAGAATTGATCGTACCAAGAGTTTGTTTATTTGCTTGTTTTTTGTCTCCGCAGATCGGCTATGAGAGACACTGGCTTCACTTTCTCAAAGAGTTCATTGTACCTGTCAACGCCAGACTGTACCCTGGTTACAACTCTGAGGTACGAATAAACCCGAAAAATCATCTTAAATATTTGTGTCAAAATTTAAGAAATTCGTGACGTTATCTAGTCTATTGCGAAGTTTTGTCGCCTGGTACTTTGATGTGTCGTTGCAGCGTTTTCTCGCAAACCTCAAACTCTCTTAATAATAAGCGTCAGACTCTAACAGGGAGAGCCGAAATTACGTTCGTAGCCCGAAGATTTTGATGACGTTTACTGTCGGCGACAAGCTGATGTAGATTCAATAGTCGGAAACGCTTCGGGTCCTTTACGAAGATTCGCCGGAAACGACACTGGTCAGAATGTACTCCAACGATTTCTTGTTTTTAATCTTTTGTCTTTTTTGTTTCTGTTCTGTTCAGGCTCGTTCCGTCATGAACTTTGTTGTAAAGTACGATCCTAACCGACAGTACTATCTCAGACCACATCATGACTCTTCAACGTACACAATCAACATTGCTTTGACCAGGCCAGGAATTGACCACGGAGTAAGTACCACTGCTCAACAAATCGTAAGTCAACAGCAATTATTTGAGCCAAATCTGAACATTTTCGAAGTGTTTCTCAGTGGGTTTTCATGCAAAAAGACATGCGTCAGGGCTGGGCCAATCAGTATGGAGGCTGCGTTGTCTTAGCCAGTGAAATGCGGTGTTGCGGGATGGTTGTCGCCACTTTTCGCGCGCTTTTTCCATTAAAATAAAAATACGGAGCCTTGATTATA